AGGCTCTGTCACTTCCAGTTTGCCTGTCAATATAAAATGCTTCTCAGCTGTGTCCCTAAATAGCCTTGCTCGTTCCTTTCCTGCTTTTCACTCCTATTTCACATGTGTGTTTAAAGAGCCTCTGTCAGGACTAAAATATATCTTTACCTATACCATTTTACTAAAAACCCCTGAGAGCCTAGCAAAAATAACTATAAAAAGCCATTATGTCTTACTACAGGATTAGGGTTTTTTTGTCCCGCACTGCATTCTTTTCATCTTGGGAAAATGTGTACAATAAAAATAGATTAGCTCCAATTTAATCAACAAATTCTAGGTGTTATGGGAAATGGGCTTACAACAGGTTGGGACAGAGCTATAAAACCAGAGCAGTGCAACAGCATACCATTCAAGGTTCAGAATAAGCTAATATAATTAAAATGAAATCAGATAATACTGCTTATAATTATTTCCCATACATTTTCTAGCAGAAAATTATATTTTCTGGTAGCTTTAAACTTTTCCCAAATTCAGCCTGAAGTTTTATTTGTTGCATTGGTTTCTATATCTCTATTTAGATACTCATTTTAAGTGATAGTTAAAGGGAGTCAGTGTTTTCCAAAATGGAGTTTTGGGAAACGTGTTTGCCTGGGAAGAATGAGGTTTTTAGGAGGTTTTGTTAAATGCTAGTGCCTCTTATATGTGGACAGAGCTTTGCAATTTAGCAGGAGAAAAAAAAAAAATGGAGAAAACAGCCATACCTTTTTGTCACCTCTAGGAGTGTTTGGTGAAACCTTCAAGTCTCTGGAAAAAAAGCTGTTCCCTCAATTTTTCTTGATACTTCCCAGAAGTTGGGGGGAACACCCTCAAGATTCAGTTTGTACCAAGAATATACTTCAGCTATTCATACCTCTGCTGTGCCAATAGTTCTAGGTATGTCTTGTCTTTGGCGAGCAGCTAAGTATGCTTCAACTGAAAATGGAAGATGCTGGGCAGAATTATCTTAAAATTGCTCCTGCAAGCAATTGTGGGTGCGGGCTGCAGGAACTGAGAGGAGGTTACATTGCCCATGACCTCAGAGAGCAGGAAAGTCAAGGAGCATAGGGAATAGCATTAATGCACAGTGTGAAAGAAAGGTCTTCAGCAGCTGAGGGGAGAAAGATCTGGAAAAAGATGAGTGAATCAACTGCAGATTAGTTGGATGCGTGGGAAATGTTATAAAAATGCAAAGTTCCCTGAAGAATTATGTCATAAAATAAATGATTCATTTTACAGGTGGTTTGTTTTTTTTTGTTGTTTTTTTTTTTTTTTTTTCCCCCTTAAACTTTCTGTGGCTGTGGCTCTGCTGTTCTGAGACTACTAATTTTAAGGCAGAAATGTCATAATATCTGTCTCGGGGCAGTAAGGAACTTGCCCTGGTGAGAAATGATCCTGTTACAGGTTTGGAAATGGTTTAACATTTCCATGTAAGTGTAGATTAACCTTGATTCAAGGGATGACATTATGAATTGTATTTTTTTCTTCTTTTTTTTTCCTTTGGAGAATTGGAATTCTCTTGAGATCAGCTATACTTCTGCCCGTGTCTCCACTTCTTTGGCTTAAAATGGACATAACCATCACTGCATTGATGCTTGGGATGGAAAGCATTAATTCTATGATTCTGCTGTCATGGAACTCCCACAGGAGTATTAGGATCTTAGTGTTGTCTCATGTGCATGTGGCTTTGAATGGACATCCAAGAAAACATAAGCTGATAAGTAAAATTTGTAAACTTATGTGATGTACATAGCATAAGAATTTGCTGAATAAGGCTGAGATCCTACTTGGGAGGGGGAAAAAGTACTATCTGTATATGCATACCTGGGAAACCTAAACTCTAGCATTTCCTACCTGTCGAGGGCTTAAATTTGTGATGTTGATGTGCTTCCAATGTGCATTGGTGCCTTGAGTTATTAAAGATATAGGGATGTGTTTCTTTCTTTTCTCCCAGCTTTCCTCAAGAATGACAATGGTGACATTAAGACACTGTTGACAATCTGTTTGGCAATCAGGTTCTGCTAACCTAAACCGGAGATAATAACCAGAGTTTATTATATGCAGTATTATTATGTACGCTGTTTATTATTGTATATTTATGTAATACTTAGGTGAGGGCGCCCATGCCATGGTCTGCAGGTCCCATCTGGTGAACAGACCAATCTGTCCAACCTGCTCTGTGCTAACAACTTTCTCCTCTGGTAAGGGCAGGGAATGGGTCGCTCACCAAAATTCAGGCTTGTCCTCTTCACAGAACAGAGTTGGTGAACTCCACAGGGTGTCAAGTCATATGTGAAGGGATCCTTGCATTGCCCTTCCTGAAGCAGCGTGTGCATCTGTACCTTGAGGGGAACTGCTGCCTTTTGCTCATATATCGGTATTTTTCCACTTAAGTGACGAAAAGAAGCTGGGGGGTGCGGCCACTCTTCCTCAGTCTGTGTAGAAAAGGTTGTGTGATCAGGCAGGGCTCAGAAGCTCCGTTTCTATTGCTCCTCCAGCACGTACAGATTTATGACAGGAGACTAAAGGGACTTGAAGAACTGAACATTTTCCGTATTGAAATATAAAGCAAAGAAAGAACTAGGAATTAACAGGAGAATCCTGCAACAGATTATACGTCTGTGTCAGACGGTAATATTAAATCCACTAAGAGATGTTGTAAACAGAGCAGGAATCATTATTCTGACTTACCAGCCCGGTAAGTCTCTCCTACTTTCTGATTAGTCTGTTAGTCTGTTTATGGTTGAGTTTTATGCTTGCTTTATGTTGGTTAAAAACAAGGAGGGAAAAAAAAAAAAGGCAGAGGGGGACAGACTACATAAAGTGCAAAATAAGAGTGAATAGGACTTTGCAATGCCAGAAAGAGCAGAACAAGGGAAACTCTTTGCGAAGGGGCTGATGAAAAGCTGTCTGAAGTGATAACTGTACAGCCTTTGCAACTCTCATTTGGAGTATTTGAGAGCACTTCTTGAAGCTAAATGACCCATTAGCATCCTCTGCTGACCAAACAAAGGCTCTGGCATTTTGGAAGTGGACAAGGACATCTAGGTGTTTTAACATAGTCTGCAGTTTTAAGCAGAGGTTTCCTGGTTTGACTTGGAATTAATCAAGGTTAAGAGAAAAAAGGACTGTTCTCATGCACTCAGCTTTCAGAATGCATTTTAGTTACCCCTCTAGAAATGAAGGCTGCAAGTGCAGAGCCACTATGAAGAAACATCACTTTGTGGGTGAAAAAATTTGTTAGAGAGATATAGCCCTGGTGCACCTGTATTCTCCCCCAAGAGTTGTAGTAAACTGATTGAAAAGTGTGAGCAAATGGGTTGCCTCCAAGTAGGGTTTTGAGGAGGGCAAGGTAGTGTCCCCCTGCACGCTCCTTCCTAGCATACCTGACAAAAAGATCCTTCTTAACACATGCACATGGAATGATATATTTAGAGCACCTATTTTTTTCCCAACCCCAAAGACAACATTTCTGTGTGAGTAATTGAAAAGCAAATGGAGAGCCAAGATGAATCACTGATTATCCGCTGTGGAGGTAGGACAACACAGCATTTTAATTTGTTAAAAAATAATAATCAGGAAATCCACGCTTTAATAAAAAACACCAGTTTGGTTGGTGATTGATTCTGGAGGAGAGGACAGGTCATGCATCACAGTTCCCTGCTGGAAGCACTTCTCCAGCTCTGCACAGCAAAATGGATGGGCCCTGGGAGGGCTGTGGGGGAATGAAGCACTGGGCTTTGGAGCACCGATGGAAGAGATAAGTCTCCTGTCACTTGCAGTGTAAGAAGCCAAAACATCTGTAGAACAAAATAGCTTGGGAACTATGGCTCTATGGGAAATGCAACGCGGTGCAGAAAGGTATAAACCAGTTAGGGAAGGTTCTGAGGCGGGCTGGGAGGGCTGATTACACCAGTTAGGGGAAGAATGGAAGGAAAAGTGGGTAACAGCAGTAATATTAACATAATCTCTCCTGTGAGAGTGCTGCTTCAGTTGTAACAATGTGTCCTGGTTTCAGCTGGGATAGAGTTAACTGTCTTCCTAGTAGCTGGTACGGTGCTATGTTTTGAGTTCAGTATGCGAAGAATGTTGATAACACCGATGTTTTTCGGTTGTTGCTAAGTAGTAAAAAAACTCTGGACAAATGCAATTGGTTTATCAGGTCAAGATGGTATCATCAAGTCTGGTGGCTGAAGGACTGGTTGACCTGGTCTCAAGGAAAGTGTCTGAGTTGACTCTGTTTCATTGAAGTTAGTTTTTGTGTGTGTGTGTGTGTGTGTTGGATAAGAGGATTACTGACACTGCAGGATCATGGAAACACCCTTCTAATCTATCTAAAAGGGAAGAGAAGAAATTGAACTATCTGCAAAAGATTTTAAATGGGGAAAAACAACATTATGTCCATGGAGGTCACTGGGAAGGCTGATGGGTTTAAGTAGAAACAGACATCAAAATTAAAACCCTGTAGAACCTCTTTTCCTGTATCTTAATTCAAATGAAATCAGGGTAGTTAATGCTGGAGGTACATTTGCCTACACTGTAAACAGCCTGCCTTATTGCTTGGCTACATTTCATTGCACAGCAGCGTGGAGAGAGACTTCTTTATCTTAGAGGAGGCAGTCTTCTCCTGGCAGCTGGAAAGCAGATTTGACACCCCCAGACCAAAACCACACTGAATAGCCTTACCCAAGTCCAGCCCTCCAAGCAGAGTCTGGAAATTTAGTGTGACGCAAGCAGTGATTTAAGCAGGAAGAAAATAGCATAGAGGAGGTGATTGTATTTAAGGGGAATTTTCACTGAAAAGGAAGAATCTGGATTGTCCAAAAGGATGAGTCAGTCTGGACAGAGACAAATTTTCCATCTCATGTTGACTTGTTTCAAACAGTCCTACCAATGGAAAACCAGCAAAATTTCTTCATGGATTTACCCTCTGTCTTCCCGTTAAACATCCATGCACTTATTTCTTTGTCTTTCTCCTCCTTTAGCTACGAGCCAGGAAGATGAAGTGCTGCCTTCTCACTGTCGCGTTGGCCGTTCTGCTGTTCATTGTCGTTATCATCGCGGTCTCCGTCAAGCACTGATCTGGCTATGGTTTCCACAGGTAAAAGCCTTTAACTAAGTGTTTTGACATACCCTGTAAGATGGTTGGGAGACGGTTTAGGAAGCTGATAATGGTAAGAAAAATTTATCTTAGCTTGCACGTTCAGGTGTGGCCTATGAAAATAGTTTCCTTTAAAAGGTATCTGAGCTCAGAAATAGCATCTGTAGTGGATCCTTAAATGTAAGCCAAGGTGGTATTCAAACAAAACATCTTGTTCCCTTTTTCTCTGCTGTTTGCATTGTTTGATTTTATCTGGATCTCATAGGAATGCTAGTTAATGAATCCTAAATCCATATGAATTAAAGATGCAGAAGTGGTGTTAAAGACCCGAGACTGAAGCAGGGTTGGGGGCAACCCAACATCCCACAAATATGCTGAGATGTTCCAAAGTGCACCTACCTGCTGAGATGTTCCAAAGAGACCCTGGAGCCAAGCTCTCCTGAGGAGCAGGAAGACAAACAACTGTAGACTGTAGTATGGACAAAAATAAAAACGGGTTTCTGGTGATCTTTGCTCTGGATCCACCCCTAAAAGGAGTATTGGTCTGTAGTAGGGAGACTGGGCTGTAACCTTACCAAGATAGGGGAGTCGTCAATGCAACTTCATCCCACTAGTGAAATTTAAGCTATAGTATGTTTTCTTTGTAAAGAATGTGCTTTAAGTGTAAAGCATAAGACACAAAAAAAGTTTTTCTTTTCTTTTTTCTCCCTCATTACCCTAGGAGAATGACTCATAAGTTCTTTCTGATAATCTCTGTCTGATACAAAGCATTTCTGGGTGTCTGCTTCTTTAGAAGGTCGCTAGGCCGTTATTCAAGGAGAGATTATTAGATTTACAGAATTTCTACCACCCCAAGGGTTCTGGCATTCCAGCTCTGCGTGCCTGCTGTGCATGGCTAGGTTTCTGACTGGTAAAGCCAGAAGCCAAGAGTATCAATGGGATTTTTCCTGCAGACAGTAAGTAGGAGCCCTGAGGCAGAAAGCAGTGAAGGGTGGGGAGAACTTTTGGGTTAGAGATCTCTGCAAGTCTCTGTGGGACATGATAAAGCATGTGTGATATCACTCCTGTACTTAGATACTGCATTATACTGAGGCTTACTGCGACCTTTTACTATAATTTAAGCGGAGATTTCTTAGCCTGAACTATCCTCGGGAACCACCCTAGAGAAAACACAAAGGATTGATAGATTTTTTTTTTTTATTGCTTTATTTTACAAGAGTTCAGTGTTATTTGACAATGCTATCTTTCCACCTGAAGATGAAGTCGTTGCCCTCTAATGTGCCTTCTTTCCACATCATGCTCTCAACTGAAACTAGCAGGGGGTTGGTTCAAAAAAAAAAAATCACAGAAAGACGATCCTTCACACAAGGTGTACTTAAGCTTTGGAACTCCCTCAGGCATGATGTTGTCGATGCCAAAATTTGGGTACAAGAAGGAATTGTACAAATCCATGAAAGTAAAAAATCTGTTGAAGGATGTCAAGTACCATCTCACTCTTTTGGGATTAAGATGATCATGAGCCCTATATTATTGCTAGGAGAAATAGCTGTAAATGCTTCTCTACACTTGCGTGCTTACTTAGGTATTTGGCCAGCATTGAAGCGAGGACAATATCAGTGAGATAGACATTTAGATTGATCGAATATGGATGTTCTTATGGCACATATATATATATATATAAATTCTACATGTAATTTTATCCCTTTCTTGCATAAGAAACAGTGCTTATGGGTGCAGATAGTAGTCCCTCCTGCTGATTTAAATGTAGAGAAACTACAATAATTTTAGTTGTATTACTCTGTTTTTACTCTGCATTAGTGTGATTTGAGAATGTAATCTATCATGGTAATCTATAATATAATAAAATTTCTTTTAAATTTAGTTAAATACTCCTATCTACTAGAAATCACAAATCTTATCAACAGTTGACTCAATCTAGACACATTTTAATCTAAATCCCTTAAGTAGAGAAAGTCAGAGAACCAAAATATTCTTACAATAACACTCCATTGGAAAACTAGAGTTAATCTTCAGTTAAGAGATCCATGTCTAGAGGGAAGTGAACCTAGAGATACTAATGAAAGCCCTAGGAAAAATATAATGCTCTACTTTTCATCACCACTTGTGAAACTAATTATTAAGCTTCTAAAACATGAGTTACTCTGCAGTAATACAAATGTAGGCAAAACCTGCATTGAGTTATACTGGAACAAGTATGCCTTCTGATCATTATAAACCGTTCTTAATCGAGATCGACCCCAAATGGTGTGCAGCAGATTTCACACTTATATTTTGAAGATTTCCAAAATGGAACATTTTCAGAATTTCCATGTCCATAGTGAACATTTTTTTCTATTCTGAATTGCAACGCAAATGGATTTTAAAATATCAGTGGATCTAAAGTTTCAACTACCTCAACAAACTGTTTCACATAAAACTGTCTTACGTGCTTTAAGGAGATAGAGAACAGCTGGGTTTCAATGTATAACAGCTCTACATGACCATTCAGGGAGAATAAAGGGAAGAAAGCAAGCTAGGGAACTAGTTACAAAATACTCTGATTGGCACAGGACACATAACTGAATAAAATCCCAAGTTTAGTAATGACTGGCCAGAACTTTTATTTAACATGTCATCAAAGAGTTTGCTCTGTGCTGGATCAGTAAGGAGCCAAAAGAAACAGCACCAGCCACCCCATTCAAGTGGTTTAAGTCCTATTTGCATGATATTCAAGGTAGGCTTCTTTAGCTTTCATAAGTACAGCCACAATGAGAAATCCGAAGGTCACTATTCAGTGTGATAAAGAAAGGATGCCATTAGTATCTATGATCACTAAAGATTGTTATGATCATTAACATATAAAGTCGTCTTCCTTTTTTTTTTTTTCTGTTTGTACTTTTGCAATAATGATACTAAATCAAAGGTTCTTCTCAAAAGGACAAAAAAAGCACTCTTTTTTCCCCACCACAAATCAGACGTGACTTTGGCAGACAAGCCTATTCCTTCCATAGGAAAGGTCTCTTTATGAATCTTGAAAAGTAAAAAGCACTTTTTCCCATGAGTTTCTGAAGCAGTGGTGGCATCATCAGCTGCTAGCTCAGTGTGTGCAGAGAGACCCGCTGTTCAAGAGAGCTCTAAGCCTTGACTTCTGCTTGTCGAGGTCCCTGCCATAAGTATGTCACTTCTCCCTTGGGGCAGTTTTTTTTCTGGCAGAGGGAGAGACGTGCATCTACGGAGGATGCAGAGAAACTCCTGGAGACTTATGTTTGTACATTTGTTTGCTGACACCTCAGGAAAATAGCCCAGGAACTTTTGGGTCACATTGCTCATATGGTAGCAACATTGCAGCTGCTCTTTTTGCTCTTATGGTACAACATCAGTAAACATCTTAAAAGGACAGTATCACAGTAGCAGTCTGAAAAATGTCCCTCCTTTAACAATGTCTTTGACTAGTGTCAGCCTAGATAGAATAGAATATTTGCAGCTGGAAGGAACCTACAATGATCATCTAGTCTAACATCCTGACCAATTCAGGGCTGACCAAAAATTAAAGCATGTTATTAAGGGCATTGTTCAAATGCCTCTTAAACGTTGACAGGCTTGGGGCATTGACCACCTCTCTAGGAAGCCTTCTCCAGTGTTTGACCACCCTCTCCGTAAAGAAATGCTTCCTAATGTCCAGTCTAAACCTCCCCTGGTGCAGCTTTAAACCATTCCCACACATCCTACCACTGGATCCCAGGGAGAAGAGCTCAGCACCTCCCTCTCCCCCTCCTCAGGAAGCTGTAGAGAGCAATGAAGTCACCCCTCAGCCTCCTCTTCTCCAAACAACACAAACCCAAAGTCCTTAGCTGCTGCTCATAGGACATGCCTTCCAGCCCTGTCACCAGCTTTGTTGCCCTCCTCTGGATGCATTCAAGGACCTTCACATCCTTCTTAAATGGTGGGGCCCAGAACTGCACACAGTATCCAAGGTGAGGCCACAGCAATGTTGAATACAGTGGGATAATAACCTCCTTTGACCAGTTGGTTCTACTGGGTTTGATGGACCCCAAGTTGTGGTTTGCCCTCTTGGCTGCCAGGGCCCGTTGCTGACTCCTGTTGAGCCTGCTGTCAACCAGCACCCCCAGATCCCTTTCCACAGGTCTGCTGTCCAGACACTCCTCTTCCAATTTATATATGTGTCCAGAGTTACTCTGCCCCAGGTGGAGAACCTGGCATTTGCTCTTGTTAAAATACATGCCATGAATGATTGCCCAATGTTCCAGTCTGTCTAGATTCCTCTGCAAGGCCTCCTGTTCCTCAAGAGAGTCAACAGTACCACCCAGTTTGGTATCATCAGCAAACTTGCTAATGGTGTATTCAACTCCTGCATCCAGATCATTCATAAATACATTGAACAGGATTGGCCCTAGAATTGAACCATGAGGAACACCGCTGGTGACAGGACACCAGTCAGATGTAGCCCCATTCACTACAACCCTTTGAGCTTTGTCCTTCAGCCAGTTCTTCACCCAACACACCATGAACCACTCATCAACCCACAGTTGGACAACTTGTCCAAAAGGGTGCTGTGAGGAACAGTACCAAAAGCCTTACTAAAATCCAGAAAAACTACATCCACTGCCTTCCCTTTATTCACTAGGCGGGTGACCCTATCATAGAAGGTATCCTGTTTTCGGTGGGGATAGAGTTAATTTTCTTTATAGTAGCTGGTATAGTGTTATGTTTTGGGTTCTGTATAAGAATGTTGATAACACCCTGATGTTTTCAGTTGTTGCTAAATAATGTTTAGACTAAGTCAAGGATTTTTCAGCTTCTCATGTCCAGCCAGCAAGAAGGCTGGATGGGCACAAGAAGTTGCGAGGGGACGCAGCCAGGACAGCTGACCCAAATTGGCCAATGGGGTGTTCCATACCATGTGATGTCATACCTAGTATATAAACTGGAGGGGGCTGGCCTGGGGGGATCGCTGCTCAG